GATGGTCACTAGATCTTTTTAAGTGTCTTAAATTCAGCACTACTGGGATAATTTTAGCCATTTCTTCCTGTGTGTTTTCTTCAATAAAGGCCAAAGATTTCAATGTACCGCTAAAGACATTTGTCGATATCCCATAGTAAGTGGTTTTGGAAACCCATGATATTAAATAATTTATTTTTGACAGTCTCAATGATAATCGTGTATTCTTCACTCCTTCAATTATATGAAATTCTCATTTACTAAGAGATAGCCAAGTTACTACCCATATAATGTGAAATAAGTTAGGTATGATGAACGCAGGCATTATTTTTTAATGCTCTTGGCACATTACCTAAATCTTGATAAACATCATGAATTATATGTACCCAACCATTCTGCCAATTTAAGTATTCAGGAAAACATAATTTCTCCCCTCATGCCACTCACACTCTGGTTAAAGAGACAGATTGAAAACATAGTTCACAATGCATAGTTCAGAATTTTGATGAGTGTTGAAAAGGATAGAATAAATCAGGCACCCTACCTTAGGTAGTCAGTCTAAATCAGGGAGCTTTTCTCTGAAGAAATGAGGTTTGTAACTGAATCCTACAGGTTGAGTTGAAGTTGGAAAGGTGAGAAGGAAGTGGTGAGACTCCCAGAGAGAGCATGTACAAATTCCTGGAGAAAGGCAATACTTTAGTATATCTGAGGAACTGAGAGAAAGTCAGGTATACTAAAGAGATTAGGGGAATAACATGAAATGAGGGTTCAAAAGTAGGCAGAAGGGAATAAACATTTTATTGAGCTCTTATGAATAACCAAGAGAAGAAATAAAGCTATCCAGTACCTTTAAAAGAATGATCTGGGCCCTCCCTGGTGGCGCAGTGGGTTAAAGCACTGCACTAAGAAGCCTAAGCCACTTCCACATGAGTTCGATCCCCGCCTGCCCCGGAGGTGATCCACATGGCGTGGCAGACCTCTCCTGACCTTCCCGCTGCTCCTCTCAGCAGTGTACTTCATAGATCTGCCTGTTCTGCTCCCCACCCTGTCCCTGGTGAATCCTCTCACCCCCTACATCTCTGGCCTATACCACAGCTCTGTATGAATAAATAAATAAATCTTAAAATGATCAGTGTGCTATATGCTGAATGATTAGAAAATGTCAGAATTAAATGTGTTGAAGCAGGAAACCTGTAAAAATCCAGAAGATGATGGTTAACCTATTCTAGAGTGGTGTTAATAGTGATGGAAGAAATTGCATGGAATCAAATCTTTTGGAAAAGAATCAAGGATGATTTTGAGATAGACTAGATATTGGGGAATAAGGGTAAAGAAGTTAAATTTAACTTACATTTCTAAAAAAAACCAATTTCTAGGTGGCATTGCCATTTATGGGGAAGAATTGAGGAAGAATAACTTGGTGGGAATGCTAACAGAGGGAACATATTTAGTTTGCTTTATCAATGAAGCATTCAGAAGGATATCTGAAATGAACTTTAATTAGAGATAGACTTGATCAAATGCCAAATATGAATCTGAGTTGTAGTCATACTGATAGTACTTAAAGCTAGGATAAATAAGCTCTTTGCAACAAGACTTAAAAAAAATATGACAAAAAGAGTTACAGTGGAGTCATGGGGAACAAAAACAAATTTGAAGTCAAAAGGATATTAAAAAATATGAGATAGCATACACAGATAGCTCTTTATAGAAACTTCACTGTAAAAGGTGGCAGAGAAAGAGTTGGGCTATAATTCGAGATAGTTATGAACTAAGAAGAAATAGCAGCCATCACTGAATCTGTAAAATGTGCAATTCAGGCAAAGTGGGTATCTGGGTTAGCTTAGGCTTCCACAAAACAATGTCTAAGTAAGGACTTAGACACAAATAGTCTATTTTTGTATCTAAACAATAGAAAAATTACAGGATAACTGAGAAGAAAACAGGAAATGCCAACTTGAAAATGTATTCACTGCCAGGCAATTGGGGCTCAACATACTGATACAAAAGCCATTCTGAGGTGTCATTTAGAACATGTTCCCCATGAATGGAAGGGGGTTTGCCACTCATCAAACATTACTCAATGAGTGTTAATTTCTTTGTACTTCCTGATGTGTACATGCCTTAGAATGGTTGACAGATTCCTATAATTGCTTCACTCAGAAATAGCAAAGAAGCCTAGGACAGAGTTGAGAGATAATGGGTACAGCTGAGGCCAGTATCTACCAAGTCATCTCACTATGAACTTTGTTGCAGTAATAATAGGTAGAGAAAAAGATGGACAAGGAGAATCTAAAGCAGGCACAGAAGTGTTTGACACAGTGTCTACCGTGATATTTACCTACTCCCTACCACATCCTTTTTTAGACAAAAGAGGTAAGTTGTGTCTAGATCACACCAAAGTTGGCCTGTAGAAACTTTTCCTGCTTCCTAACCTCTAGATACCTCTGCCAAGTTAGCAGTGATACCTGGCAAGTAAATTAATGAAGAGTTTTGATACAGTCTTGGTGACAGAAGCAAGAAATGTTTTGAAGCATGAACCAATTTACTCAATATTTTATGAACACATATTACATTGCAAATCTGTACAGACTAGTATAGATTGTCAGACAATATTAAGTATGGACATGCTGAGGTCTCGTTAAGGGAATGCTTCATAAACACATGGGGAGAAATCTAAAAATAGAAGGCTGGATATGTTAAATAACAAATATGGATAGAACTATGCCAAGCTAATAGATGGCAATATTTTCTTAGGCATGAATAGAATCCTGGCAGTGTGGAAGCAACTATGAAACCTATTCATTTTAGTCTGTAAGTCAAACTCCACATATTAGCAGAAGCTATCTCTCCATAGTGAAGACTAGGAGGTTATTTTTACTTGCTTCTGTGCATATTGCTATTTTTTCTTAAGTCCAACAATAAATTTGTATTACTTTTATATTCAAAGAGTTTTTAAAAATACTAAAGAAAGTATATAACTAGAATTCTCTTGCTAGTGGGAATCCAAAATAGAACAAACACTTTAGAAAACTATTTGGCAGTTTCTGACAAAGTTAAACACACTTAGCATACCTCCTAGCAATCCCACTCATAGGTACTTACCCAGAGAAATAAAAATAGACACACACACTATAAGCAAGTATTTAAAGTAGATTCATAATAATCTCTAAAACTGGAACAAATACCTTTCAGAGGGTGATGGATAAAGATGAATGTTTATGGATGGAATACTACTCAGCAATAAAAACAAATTAGTAATACAGATAACAACCTGGAACAATTTAAAATACATTATATGCATGGAAGAATCCAGTTTCCAAAAGTTGTGTACTACTTAATTGGAAAGATATATTTTGGAAAAGGCAAAACTATAGGAACAGAAATTAATCAGTTGCCACTAGGAAGAGGAAGTAGAAGGAAATGTTAACTCTAAGTGGGAAAGTAGTTTGGAGGATGATGGAAATATCTATCTTTATTGTACTGGTGGTTGCACAGTTGTATGTATTTGTCTTCACTACACCCCCCCCAAAAAAAAGGTTCTATTTCTGTATGTACACTATTTAACAAATCAACAAATCCTAAATTATATATATATATACACACACATACACACACACACAGTAATAGTTCCTTTATACACACACACACACAAACTAGGGAAGACCACCACAAGGTCTTAGAAAGTAGTCAAAAGAAGAGTTGATGAGGGTAGTCAATCGTTGGAAATCAAAAATGGAACAGAACATCTGAAAACTATTTGAGAGTCCTCTGGCTGTCTGACTATGGAAGCAGATTTTAAAAAACAATAAAACAGTCCACTAGGGAGTCAAACCCAAACTCCACTAGAAAATCAGTGGTGAGCATACCAGTGATGTTTCTTCAGACTGCAAGCAGCCAAGCCCAAGTCTCTTTCAGCTAATTTATGCACAGAAGGTGAAGGAGATTGTGAAGATATTGGATGGATTCTGAGTAAGTCTTGGGAGTGACAGAAATGCCGAGAAATGAAAAGAGCTCTCATCAGCCACCACTGGTGTGGCATCGTGTTCCACCAAATGTCAACCAGCTGAATGCAAGTGAGACCAAGGAGCACCTAGCCTGTCTTGTATACCTCTCACTGCCTTCCCTAGGCTATTTACTACACCGCTGAGAGAAGGGCTCAGCAGGAACTTCGTGGGCATTTCCCAAGTGTGCCAGCCAGAAGTTAGCATTAAGGAGGGGACACATTTAACCAATTGAAAATGATATTGTACAGATAAAGGCTCCTGCATTTAGAGCAACAGTTCTGTGTTCCATTCTGAAAATCTCCTAAATCAAGCCCTTGACATTAAGGCCCAGCCACCAGTATGGTGGCCAATTCAGTAACTTCTCATTGTATTTGTTAGTTTTTCTCCTCTCTATTTCAATCTCTCCATCCCAACTCTTTGAACTCAAATTACTGAATATACTACCTGTAGATCAACCTTCAAGTTAGTTTCTGCATCCTGAGGAATCCAATATAAGAAAGACCCAATGTAGTTCTGGAGATTTCAGCTACCGAAATTTATGGACCACCTCTTAAGGATCAGGGCTTCAGTGGGTTCAGCTCTAAACTACCACCAACCACTTCTCAAAGGGGTGTCTGATTAGCTCAATTTAGATCCCATGAACACTCTGATCAAAGAGCATGGAGTCAGCCTGGAACTCCAACAAAATAACTTGAACTATGAACAGAGATGTTCTCCAAGGAGTATAGAGAGGCTGAAAACAGGAGGTACTCTAGTTGCAAGTTGTTTTGGGTAATATTAACTTATTAAACATAACATGTGCATGGTAGCCCCTGTACAAAGCAATCATTTATGAGACCCTGCTAAGGCTTCCCATAGAAAACATAAACATGATTCAGGATACACTGGAGGATTTTCTGGTAAGTTATACTGATGGCTCAAATAATATTTTGAATTTGGAAAACATATACTCTACAATTGTTAAAATAGCCAGCTTCATTTTTTCCTCACTCTTGTCTTTTTCTCTCTCTCTAGGTTAATATCCAACACAGGCATTAAGCACTTGCCAGCTGTTCACAAAATTCAATCCTTACAGAAGGTTCTACTGTAAGTCTTTCCTGTATAGCTGTCTATGTCTCTGGGGTTATAATGTACATTGTTTGGTCACATTGTCCAAATGTGTTGCTCTGACTGAGCACAGGTAGGAGGGGAAACAGCAAGTGTCCTTGGCTTTATCTGAAGGCCAACTAACCTCAGTTTGGAGGAAGTCAGCAGACTGCTCGGTATAACCACTGTCAACAGAGCTAGTTTGTAGCAAACCAAGAAGCCTCTTAATTAAATAATTTATCCATTATTTAATGTTCTATTTACCTTCTTTCATAATGCCCCCCTGACTTATACCACCTTCTTCTTCCCCCTCCAAAATTCCCATTAGTGACATGATACGTTTGCCTTTTTCCAAGGTATCTGTATTTTGAAAAAGGAGGAAAAATGGCAGTGAATATGTAATGGCCAATTTATTTTCATAATGAAATTGTTAAGAAGGTGGCCAGACTAAAGGAAGAATTGGGAAGGAGTATGAGAGGTTAAAGGAGGAGGCCCCAGGGGAAAGAAATAAAAACTCTAGAATTTCTCAAATTGCTCCAAGCAGTTTACCTCATCTACACTTATGTGTTACAGCAAATCTAAAAGAAACTTGATAGAAGGATGAGGGACACAAACAGAAGTGAGAATTTCTCTGTCCATTCAGGGAGAGACTAACCATGAGGAAATTTCTTTTTTTGTGTGTGACAGAACAAAGACACTATGAGAAGGGAATTGAGATGACAGGAAGATAAAGGCCAAGCTAAGAGAATAAAAAAGTTTGTGAAGAAAGTCAAAGGTCAGCTCAAATGAACTGTTCATAAAGTGTAGACACCAACATGGAGCAAGGATAATAATGAGCACAGAGAAAACTTTAATAGGGAAATTAGCTAACAAGACTTTCAGGCAAACCCTTGCTGGTGCAAGGGATTAAGTTGTAGCACTATGAAGCACTAGTTATTGATCCCAGGCCAAGGAAGTGACCCACTTGGCTCAGCAAACCTCTCCAGTCTCGCCCATTGTTCCCCTCAGCAGTGTATTTCAGTACATCTGCATGTTCTGCTCCCCACTCTGTCTCTGGTGACTCCTCTCACCCCCCCTAACCTCTGGCCATCACCCCAGTTCTTATATACATAAATAAATAAATCTTAAAAAAAAAAGGACTTTCAGAGAGAGCAGATTGTGTCTACCATTCCATTTTTAAGAGCTGATAGACAAAAGATAAATTACATGCCATTTTTTTCCTTAAACTTTGACGTCATTATCCTTCAGAAAAATAATTATTCAACCATCACTGCCTAAAGACTCCATCACAGCAAGTAAGCTAAATGTGGGAGAGTAATGTGAGTGGAGCTGACATAAATATCTAATTTGTCTCCACTTTCTTCTAGAGATATTCAAGATAACATAAACATCCACACAGTTGAAGGAAATTCTTTTGTGGGACTGAGTTTTGAAAGTATGATCCTGTAAGTAAAGAAAGAAAATCCAATGGAGCAACATTGGTTTTTCATTTAATAAACTCTTTCTCATCACGGGATAGTCCTTGTTTGTTTGGGTTACTTTGGCATTTCACCATTTAAATTTCTCTCTGGTTCTGTTTTTCCTCTCATTTCCCATCTTTACATTTCAGAATCTCAACATGGAGTCATGTTAATAATTTATGATTCCGTGGTGCATTTCAAGTATTTAAAATTGCTCTTTGAATGATGGTCTCCTGTGATGCAACATCTGTTCCGAAGGACAGAATAACTCATGCATCAGTAAAGCTAGTTATTGCCTGGCAAGGCTTTTGTTGCCCAAAGAAAAAGACAAAGAAGGAGGCTGAATCGGGAAGACACAACTCTCCCTCCTAACCATGCAGGCAGCTCCTGTTCAGCACCATGCTGAGCACGAGATGCTTCTCATTTTCTTGGATTGATCATCTATTTTAATGAGCTTGAGTGACCCCCTCTGACTTTTGGGAAGGTTTTTTTAAATGCACTCTGCATTGTTAGTGTATGGCAAGATGGTCAATAGGGCGCTAGATACTACCCAAGTGTCTGTGATAGTCCATAGAAGTTAGGTGTGGGGCCCTCCCTGGTGGTGCAGCAAGTTAAAGCAAAGCACTAAGAAGTTAAAGCCACTTTAGCATGAGTTTGATCCCTGCCCTGGATGTGACCCACATGGTGTGGCAGACCTCTCCTGACCCGCCTGCTGCTCCCCTCAACAGTGTACTTTTGTTAGTCAGCCTGTTCTGCTCCCCCACTCTGTCTCTGGTGAATCCTCTCACTGCCCCTACACCTCTAGCCTATACCCCTTTGTATGCATAAATAAATAACTCTTTAAAAAAAAAAGTTAGGTGTGTAGAATTACATTTGGGGAACTTGTAACCTGTCAGGAAAGCATTTTCTCTATTCCACAAGTTACTGTGGTTTTAGAAATACATGTGTGTGCTTTAATATGCCAATGAGCACAAAAGTTACAGTCCAGGAAGAATTTTAGTCCTTTTCGAAAAAGTGGTATGATTCAGAGGCCTAGCTGGAGCAAAAATAAAAGAAGAGGAAGAGGAATAATAAACAGATGAGAACATAGTAAAGAATAAAGCTCAGCACAATAGTTGATGTAAACTAATGGCAAGGAACCATGGAGCTGGGTTGAAAAAGACTAATAAAGGAATAGGATTTGCAAAGGGAAAAATCAAACCAAAGCATGTATTCAGAGGACATGGCAATAAGATAAGACTCATGGGTAATACCTAATCCTTTCACTTAATATATTGATATTGGGGGAGGGGAGTGTTGGAATAAGTTGATGGATGTACGGGGGTATGAGAGAATGGGAGGGCAAAAGAGTTGAATTAAAGTGTAAGCAGGGGCCCTCCCTGGTGGTGCAGTGGGTTAAAGCACAGCACTAAGAAGCTTAAGCCACTTCTGCATGAGTTCGATCCCCACCTACCCCAGGGGAGATCCACATGGTGTGGCAGACCTCTCCTGACCCGCCCACTGCTCCCCTCAGGAGTGTACTTCGTAGATCTGCCTGTTCTGCTCCCCACTCTGTCTCTGGTGAATCCTCTCACCCTCCACATCTCTGGCCTGTACCCCAGCTCTCTATGAATAAATAAATAAATCTTTAAAAAAAATAAACTGTAAGCAGAAGGAAATGATGCAAAGTGAAAGCAATTATTCGAGAGCAAAGGAGGAATGACTTATTCTCAGTAGCCTGCGGTGTAAGGGTCAAGAAAGAGTTAAGGGACAGAAGGCTGGGAGAAGGGCAGTGTGTCCAAGATGGACTTTAAAGAGGACTAGGATTGAACCAGAGCCTTGGCAAAGGACAAGCAGAGGAAATGGAATAATCAAAATGTAAGAGGATAACAAATGAATAATGGACAAGGACAAGTACCTGGTTGATACTAGAACAGTGGGTTGTAACACAAGCAAAACAGTATAAAAGGACCCTTGGATTATGTGATGGAGGGAGGGCATTTGCGAGAGATGCAGTCGCTTGTATTAGGATTTGGGGGCTTGCTAGCATACTCTCAACAAATGTGACCACTGCCAAATTAACCGAACATTTGTATACAAAAGATACAGCTAGGTGGGAATGCGCTAACGTTCTCAGTTTTGCATATTGACACACACCCGTTTTGTCAACAAGGTACATTACTCCTCTCTGGATTAAACTTTCCCCAGTGGGTGAAAGAGATTGGCGAAGAATGTTCAAATCATAACTGTTCTGCACTGACTTTTGTTCATGGACCCAGTGTGGTTCCTTAAAATTCAGAGCATCCTCGTCTAAAGAGATGTTTCCTTAGGAGTCAACACTCCTCAGACATGTTTCTAAAGGATAAATTCACATTTCTGAGAACATCTGTTTTTCTAACTCAGATGGCCCTTAATCCATAGATAATAGAATCAGAAGATCCACACTCAGCACAGCTTAAATCTCCAATTATTCCTAGTGTGGGCGTTGTGTCTGGATGCAGGACACTTCCCCCCACTGGGGACATCCAGATGCACTCAGGGAAAACAGTGCCACTGATGACTGAAAATGCTTTCTGTGCATTGGCATTTGTCAAAGTCCTGAGGCCTTGTGCTGTATATTATAGATAGATCTACAGTATATATTTAGGTATATATATATATGTGTGTGTGTGTGTGTGTGTGTGTGTGTGTATTTGTGTATGTATATATATTTGTGTGTGTGTATATATATATATATATATATATACACAGCCCAAAAAGGAAGTGTTGTGGCTAATGCCCAACAGGAACATAAGCAATGAAAGGGCCTCACACTGAGGTCTCTGAGCCCTTCCCACTCCCATTCCACCATTGCACCCAAAGACTCTGAATGGGGAATTCACCTAACTGTGGCCAACCAGCAGACTGGCTTCATTCAGAAGAAAGAAAACAAGGTTTACATGGGCCAGGTCACCCCAGCACCTTCACCCTTAAAAATGGAAGCACACTTCATCTGGAGCCCCGAGCCCCAAGAGTGAATGCACTGTGTCCCTGGGGACACAAAAGGATTTAAGGAATCCCGTGAAGCAGTGACTCCTTGGCTAAAAGAATACCTTGGTTGCTGTTATCATCATTTAGTATCAGATTTGTCACTCCTCTTAAGAGACTAAGAGTGCACTTAATAATTGTCAGTTTCTCTTTTGTTAGTAGTTTGAGAGAATATAAAACCTAGGATGGGAGTTCTAGACAAAACCTGCTTTTCGTGTGATGATCTACTGTTGACATCAAAAATCACAGTCCCCTTTCCCATATGATGGTATCTGTTAATTGAGAAAATCATAAATTTGTTTCAAATTGCTTTGAAAACAGCAATTATTTTAAATTAGCCTATATTTTATTTAATCATGGTAGCATCTATTTGCAGGGCATCCAAGCCTATAGAAAAGTAAGCTTGGATTTGAATACCAGTTATATTAGAGGAAGGATCGGCCAACTCCTACCCACAGACCAAATCCACCTGAGAAGAAAGGGCTGCTTTTTACAAAGGATTGCTTGTAAAATATTAGGGATACAAATATTGAACCTATTTAAGTACTTAAGTAAAATGCTAAAACTCCCTCCAATAAAAAACAAAATACAGGGTTATGGTGTTTTAAACAGTAGACCAATGTTACTTTAAAAATCCTTAATTGAGACCCTCCCTGGTGGCACAACATGTTAAAGCACAGCCTGTTCTGCTCCCCACTCTGTCTGGTGAATCCTCTCACTGCCCCTGCGCCTCCGGCCTGCACCCCAGTTCTGTATGCACAAATAAATAAATCTTTTTTTAAAAATCCTTAAGTGTTAGATTTTTCAATTTGGTTGCTAAAAAGTTTGTGCAGTTGTCTTCTAAGTACCTATGTAGTATCCTACATTTAGGTATTGGCCACAACACCTAAAATTTTATTATCTGGCCGATTAGAGAAGCATTGCTGCCCTCTGTCTTTGATCCTATCCTCTCAGAGAGCCGCCGCTCCTAGGTTAGGGGCAGCTGCTCCAGAACTTTACTGGCAGGGACAAGTAGACAAGGACTGTCTGTAGCTGTCAGGCTGAGGGGACAGAAGCACAGAGCCACTTCGTGGCCAGCAGAAGCCACTAATGTTTTAAAAGCCTTACCTTGTTCTCTGGCTTTTTAACTAACTGGCTTTCCTGGTGAGGAAATGAAAGAACATTACAGTCACTTCCTGTGATTGTAAGCATTTTCTAGCAACCAGGAAGAGTCCCAAGCCTTCAGGAACTCATCTGGGTCAGCTTTTAGGATAGTGTTATTTGGGAACCTAGGGAGCCTGACAGGATAGAAGCCCGACAGCAAATCAGAGCAGGTGGTCAGTAGCTCTTGGGGCTAAGCTCTCCCGACCTTGGATTTCTATTTTTGTTTTCAGAACTGCTCAAGAACACAGTAGTGCAGAGCTGTCAGCCCAGGGTGTCCTTGGCTTCCTGGGTCCAAGCAGCCCCACTCACTGGTTTTCTCCGCACAATCAAGATGACTGTTTCACGTGAAGGCCCACTGCCCACAAAGTCCACTCCCAGGCCGTCCCCACGATCTCCCCTACCTCGGCCCCCAGTCTCCGTAATTGATTTCTCTTCTTTGCTGACTCAACCCATCTCCACAAACTTCTAGTAACTAGTTCCACAGAGTCACAGGAGATGTTCAGGTGGCCTGACAGCTTAATTCAATCTCTTCTGATGACAGCCAGGCCAGCAATGCATAGGGTGAGAGACCTATGGCCTTAGAAAAGGTGATGCCAAATGTTCTGTCTGAGAAACACTTGTTCAATAATTGTGTGTGATTTCTGTCCTTCAGAAGGGAAAGATCTGTTCCCTGTTCCCCCAGGGGAATGGTCCCTGCACACAAACACTGTGTGCAAAGACCTGACAGTGCCCAAACTGCTATCCAATGTGTGCTTTTCAGAATTAAGTTACATTTATTTTTCTGAATAGGTAACACATGCACACACTGCAAACCTTGAAAATACAAAAGGTTTTACAGTGATAAATCAATCTCCCTCCCGCTCCTGTCCCAGAGCCTTCAGGGTGGCGTTTTATTTATGCCACTAACTTGTGCTGTCTGACTCTGCCCCAGTGCTTCCAATTATGAAGCCCCTGTATTGTTTGCATCTGACATTATTGGTTTTTTAATGGGCCTTTTATTTCAGGTGGCTGAATAAAAATGGAATTCAAGAAATACACAACTGTGCATTCAATGGAACCCAACTAGATGAGTTGTAAGTAGTGCTGACCATCTTTCCAAGCTGTTTTCAGGGCATTGACTCTTGGACCCACAATGTTTACTTAGCTCTGTGTTTGCCTCCCTTCTTCAACTCTACCCCCAGGAATCTCAGTGATAACAGTCATTTGGAAGAACTGCCTAACGATGTTTTCCAGGGAGCCTCTGGACCAGTCATTCTGTGAGTAGCTTCCCCTGTTGCCATGTGCAAGAGCTCAGTGTAAATAAAATAAGTCAACCATCACCAATTCTGAGAAACTTCAAGACAGGGCTGGCCATGCTGCTCAATTCTTTTGTGTCATCCTCAAAGACTTACCATGGTAATTTAGGGCTGAGCCACATTTGAACTTTCAATAAAATAACAGTCACTAACTTTTAATGAACAGTTACAGTTCCCTCTACTAAACCTCATCTCCCCACCTAAAAGATGGCAAAAAAAAAAAATACCCATTTTATAATATTATTTGAAGCTTAACATTATTTTATAGCTGTATATATATATATATATGTATATATATATATTTATAATATGTTATACTCTAGTTATTTTTATAGATTTGCTCATTAAGTAGAGAGACAGAAGCACCACCCATGTGCTACATAGTACAGGGAACAAAAGAGTTTTTACATTTTTGTAAGGTGGAATCAGTTCAACATACAACAAACGTATAAGATCAGAAAGTGTGCTTTGAAGTACCGAGGAGGACAGAGCATTACAAATAGAGATCGCTGGGCATCCAGCCATGTGCTCAGATATTCAAATACGTGGAAATTTTAATGTTGAGTTGCTGTTTCACAAATGGACTTCAGAAAAGTGCTTTGGATGTTTTAAACCACCAGGACAGTCATTTGTCTACTGCTGCACTTAACTAAAAGCCCTGAGGGTTTTAGATGTTCCTGATTAGGCACCACCTCTGTTACGAGAGGTCACATCTCTGATGTGTAGGTTTCCACATGTGACCAGTACCAGGTAACCTATTCATTGGTTATCAATTAAGCATTAACAATATAACCATCATCAATAATAGGTGACTTAGCCACTGTCTGCTATAGAGAATGTTCAAGTTGAGAATGTTCAAGATCCCCAGCCTGCTCATCCCAATGACAAATGCAACTCCAGAAATGGGAAGGGACCTGCTGAAGTTCACCCATCAGAAGCTTGGAGCCAGAACAGAATATACATCTCCTGTGTTGCCACCATACCATCATGCTCAGTACATGGAAATGTCTAATCAAGCACCTTATAGTTATTCAATAGGTCCCTGCAATTGACTGTAAATAAAAATAGAGCGTAGAATATCTCCTGCATTTGTGTAAGGAGGTCCCAGGCCAAGACACACTGCACGCCTCAGAGTGTCAAACAGGGACACATACATGGATCCCCTAGCCCCGCCTTGCCAGAAGTGCTGTGGCAGAGATGTCACTATCACGAGCAGATCAGAAGACTTTATGAAATACTTGCCATGGCTGAGGAGGATAGAGTGATGATGCATTCCTGCATCTTTTGATCTCAATGCATGAGGATGTATGTGCGAGATTCTAGCCAAAGGCCCAACTTAGAATCACTAGTCTCTTTGCCCTCCCTTTAGGGCAACAGGATTGAACACCTTAACATCAAGGTTCTCTTTGACGGTGGCCATTTAGTCCACAGGAATCCTTCCAGCCTCTGTTTGCTGACCTGGGAGTCTATGGCCGAGCCTATCCCCACTTCTGCAACCTGATGCAGCAAACCCCAGCTACACCCTGATCTGAAGAGCTACCTATTTAGATGTGTGCAGAAGCCCAGCCCACCCAGGAACTGTAGCTTAATGGGCAGGAGATGGAGGGTACAGACTGCTCAGTCCACAGTCAGTGCTACCCAAGGTATGGGTGTGACTGCCTTGGATCAGACCCTCCAACCCCAACATAAGAGGATTTGCATAGCTACATGCAAATCATGCAGGAGTTTCGTACGAGTGCTCTTGGAGTATGTGAAGGGTACTCCTGAGGGAAGTAGAATCAGAGTCAGTGGTGACTCCCATGTGGGCCTATGTGTACTGCATGTGTAACCCTTCAATGTTGTAGTGTTTTAAGGGAAGGGGCCATGCCTCTTCATCACCAGTCACTGTGTGAAGGCTGTCCCTGGGGAGGAACCTACTCCTGGGTGAATGAGCTAAGGTCAGCACCCAAAGTCCAACTCAGCAATGAATACACTCAACTGTGTGTGCTTCACAAGTGCCCTTAGGCAGTGGTGCTAAAGTGCATCAAAATCACCTAGTACACTTGTAAAATCCCCAGTGGTCAATCCTGTTTCCTGGTTTTGAGTCCATATGTCAGAGAGGGCCCAAGCTCTAACAATTTCCCCAATGAAGCTGATGTTGCTGGAGTAGAAAGCACACCGGAACAATCCTAGAATCATGCCAGCAACGGGGAAGCCCCACCATGTCTCTAAAACATCTCCTCCATGATCTAACTGTGCTGAGTCTTCTATGCTGACAGCCCGTGTTCTTTGTTCCCAGTGGATACATGCCGAGGCTTCTAAGGGACTTGAGAAGAAGGCACCCAGACCAATGATCACTCCTTTCCTGAAGGCAAAATTCTTACTTGTGTGAAAAGCAGGGAGCCTCTGTGCACCTGAGGGGGTAAGGGCAAGATGTGCCACTGCAAAAAGACAGTCACAGGGAAGCCAGGGGCACACAGACAAGCTCTGTCAAATTTCCCAGGAGCAGCCCAGCATCCTGATCGCCCCCTCATGAGTCTTGACCTTGAACGTCAGCAGCCATCTCAGTTTCACCTGAAATCCTTCTGAACTCACTCAAGTTTGCCTTTTTTTTTTTTTTTTAAAGCAATCGAGCAATTGCTGTTTCCTTGGGAAACAGTTTCCTGTGGGGAAAATGTAATGCATTGCCTTTGCAGGCTGGAGCCAGTACAATCATATTCTGATGGTTTATCAAATTGATTTGGCTATAGCTCAGATTCATTTGATAGTTCAGATTCAAACACCGAGTTATTTGTATAAGAATGATTCTCTTCCATTACCAGTGTACCCACAGTCCTACAGATAGTAAATTGCCTTTTTATCCCGCCTGGGATCATGAAAGAGAAGGTCTTCTAACCATCTGTCAGTGTAGTATACACCAGAAATGTGCTCTCACTTATGGAAATGATTGACCTGTAATAACATCTTTGCTGGGAAAAATAGAAATTGTTCAAATCAAATTTGTGGCACTGGCTCTAACCCACTTTATTAAATGGGGCACAGAGTGCTGTTTAACTCCTGCCTCTCCTGAGTCAGCGTCCTATTACCAACTGCTGTGTTCCTTTTCACCATGTAACTCAAAATCAAGAATCCTAACAACGCTCAAACAATTTAGGATTACTAAATCCCTTCTGTAACAGTCATCTTCCTGCGGTGTCTCCTGTTGGTATTTTCCAGGATCTAAATTCTCAAAACCAGTCACAGCCAGAATATAAACATGTACTGAAATGTTAACCCATCTGACATCTTAAAGAGAGACACTGCAGTCACTAGACCAGTCTACACGATAAGGACTAAATCACCTACCCATAGCTGTCCTTTTACTCACTGCCCAGTCCATCAGCTCCCGAAACAACCTCACAAGTTAACTTTCCTAATTATTCAGTTAGATCTCACATTTTATTCATTCAGTGGATGCTGATGAACACAGAACACCATGCCAAGAATAAGTGAGATTTAAAGACAAAACAGTAGCCAGTCTAAAAGAATTAAGTCATTTCCCAGAACATTAAATTCTACAGAAGTTTTCACAGGAAGCTACACTAACACTGAGCAGCTGCCCAATAATTGCTGTCATTCTGTGATGCGGTGACTTTGACAGATGAAGTGACAGTGATTAGGAGAGCTCTTCATCTGGACTTCTGCAGTCCCCTTTCTCCTGTCAATCCTTTCGCCTTTTAATTCATTTAACAAGTATTTATTCAATACCTACTATGTGCCAGGCTCAAGTGCTCAAGAATAATCTCAGAAAAATCCCCACTTTCAGCAAGTAAACCCCCGCTCATAAATTCTCAATTTTTCCCAGCCTTCAAGGCTTGGAGAGCTAATCTCATCCTGTGGTTCTCTTTAGTCAAAATAAAGTTGCCAAAATAACTGTTTTGAAAACCCCTCACTGCCACTGGCCTGCTGTGATTCCTGGGCCTCTCCCCAAGCCTACCTTTGGCCAATAACCATGAGAAACAATTTCCCAAATATGTGAGTAGTGAATACCAGACAATGCCTTATTTTTACACCCCCAGGAACTTTTGCAGGCTAACATCGGTGTACAAAGGAAAAAAGTCTAGCTTTCTGGGCCATGGGTTTGGAGATAAGACCAAAATAGGATTAGGTATAGTCAAGTCTCAGGCCACACTGAGTAGTATCCATTTATAGTAATCTTTGTCCTGCTGATATAAATGTCTAATTTATAGAGAGGCTAGAGAAATATTTTCTGCCTGCCCAAAATATGGAAGTCTTGACAAGTTCTTCATTTGCTTATTCTAGTACTCAATAAGCTTTAGGTAAATATCCTACAAATATTTTTGCTCTGCTATTTTCCAGGAACACTTAGCTAAAGACCTCTGCTTTACCAAACTCTTAAGTATCTCTCTCCTATTACGACTCCCTCCTGGGACTGTGCTCAAGTCAATGAACCCAACACACTCTGCTGGTTCTCAAACACATGTCGTATCTCATACTCTATACAATTTTACTCCCTTCCTTGGGACCTTTGACACTCCCAGTAGCATGCAAATTGTTTTGCATTCTTCTCCCTTGAGAAATCACTCTCCTGTAAGAGTTGCTGTAGCCTCTTACTTTTATTATGATAATGTAACATCTCTGTCAGACAACTAGATACTGAATAGATATCATAAGTCCAGCCAGTCATGTGCCAAATATGATATAGAACCCAAATACATCTTATCACCATCCTTGAAATCTGGCTGTGGTGACAAAAATCAAATTAATAAAAACTAGGATAACATGAAACAATAGAAGAGATAATACAAAGCACATAATTCTCTGCAACTGCTAGAGACCAGAGGACCTCACAGCCTGAAGGAGAGAATTGATCCAGTCCCTTTCCCAATCACACTTCAGTTTTACCTCCCCCCTAACATATGTTCAAACAAACCATATATTTTCTGGGTGATTATGTATGAAAGGTCCGGATAAGAAAGCAA